TTGGTATCTGCAGGAGATCCATTCAAGACCCTCCCCCCATGGATACCAAAATCTATGGATGTTCAAGTTCCATTGTCCCCAATGGCCGTGCATGCATGTGGCTGCACCGCCATTGGAACAATGTGGGCTTGCCATCTGTGGATACTCAAATACTGAGGGCTGACTGTATATTTTTGAAATGTTTTGCTTCCATCATTTTTTTATTTGTACTTGGTCATGTAATGTGTACCTCTGATGGTCTTCTAGTAGTGTTTCCCAAATTTTGGTCCTCCAGATGTTTTGTATTTCAGCTCCTATAATTCCTGATTGTTGTCTCAACTGCCTACGGCTTCTGGGAGCTGAAGTAAAAAACATCTGGAGGACCAAAGTTTGAGAAACACTGTTTTATAGCATTCTCACTCTCAGTTTAGATTTTCCTTTGATTTTTTCAGATATTGTGGAAGAGGTCACTTGTTTATCCTTTATGCTATGATCTTCTATTTCCCTGCACTAATTATTATAGCACATTTCTTTGTCCCAGCACAGAAGTCACTAAACAGTTGCATTCAGTATTCTGACCCTATTTCTGTCACCCTTTTCCTTTGCTTCTCATTTGTCCTCAACGGCTTGAAGAGTTTCATATATCTTCCACTGGGAATTCTCTTTCCTTTTGGCTGCACATAGTGTCTTTTTGCATCTCTTCCTGACAATGTTCCTGGCTTCAGTCCAGAGTTTCTGCCTCCTAGTCAATTAGGCCTAACCGTGCACATCTATTTTTTACAATATTTTCAAATTCTATGGGGATGTTGTTCAGGTTGTATTTTGGCACAATGATTGGTTTGGTATTCTTCTTTAGCTTTACTCTATTTTTCTTATATCAACAAGTCATGGTCTTTGCCACAATCTGCTGCTGGTCTTGTTTTGCAGAGAGAATAGAATTTCTCTTTCTTCTGCTTCCAATTATGTAGGTATTTGATTTGTATATTGACTACCAGGCAATGTCCACATATACAGTTGCCTCTTAGGTTTTTTGAAGAATGTGTTTGTGATGAAGAAACTTTCAATCAGCATCCCTGCTGCTTCATTTCTTCATCTTATGCCAAATTTTCCTACAGTCTCTGATTCTGTTCTGTTTCTTACTTTTGCATTCCAATCACCTATGATTAACCAGGAGTTCTGTTTTGATGTGTAGTCAATTTCCTCCTGGACTCCAGCATAGAATCTTCCTGTTCTTCTTCTTCTGCCTCTGTAGTTGGAATAGACTCTTGGATGATGATTATATTGCTATATTTTCCTTGAAGTCTTATTGATAGGATTTAGTCAGACTTTGTATTATATTGTTTTTTGTGGGTTTTTCGGGCTGTGTGGCCATGTTCTAGAAGAATTTCTTTCTGACGTTTTGCCAGCATCTGTGGCTAGCATCTTCATTCCAGTATTCTCTTCCATTCCAGTATTCTCTGAAGATGCCAGCCACAGATGCTGGTGAAACGTTAGAAAGAAACTCTTCTAGAACATGGCCACACAGCCTGAAAAACCCACAAAAAACTATGGATGCCGGCCATGAAAGCTACGACTTCACTTTGTATTATATCCTTTGAATTCTTTTGCCACAACTCTCCTCACTATTAATGCCACCTTATTTCTTCTGGGATTTTCATTTCCTGAGTAAAACACTGTGTAATTATCTGACTTAAATGTCCCATTCCTCGCTCAACCCAAGTATTGCAAGATTTATATGTTCTATTTCTTGTTTTACTACATCTAGTTTACCCTGATTCATGCATCTCACATTCCAAGTTCCTATATGTTGTGCGGCTCCAGCCTCCAGACTTTCCTTTCACCTCTGAGCACATCAACAGCTTAATGTTCTCTCAGGTCTCCAGTTGCGTCATTAACTGCAGTGCTACTCATTGTTGTCCTCTGCTGTACCCTAGTAGCTTGTTCAGTGCCTTCTGACCTGGGAGTATCATCTTCTGGCACTATCTCTTGTTTCATTTTGAATTGTCTCATCATAGGGTTTTCATGGTGAAAGGAATTCAAAAGGAATTTACCGTGCCTCCTTCTGCACAGTACTAACAAGCATTAGCTATAATCCCACCGCTATTATCTCAGAGAGAGCCTCCACCAGTGACACAGTACATTGCTGCTGCTACTACTCAGTAGCTGTACGGCATATTTAATTTGGCTCCTCAGCAAAAGCCTGTCTGACATGGGAGACCCTACCAGCAGCAGTGAATTTCAAACAACCTTCTACAAGTTTGAGAACTACACTGCAATCCTGGGCTACTTGCTCAAGGATAAATCTCCTACTCAGTTGATGATAATTCTGAGTAACTTTTCATTGACTTGGTTTGCACATCATACTTATGTGTACACTAGTGAGTCTGTTGAAACATTTATGTGTGAGCATGTCCTTTGTCATATGCTAATCAGTCCTGTCCTTAAAAATGTGCAAGACAGTTATTGTATATGCATCCAGAATATTTATATCTAAACAATTTACATTTCTATCTGAACAATTTCAAGAGGGGTAGCAATAATAGTAGCATAAAAATACTAATGAATCCTGTAGCACCCAGCTACCAATATGTAATAAGATTTATTATTGCATGAGCTTTCATTCTGCCTCGGCAGACGGCTTAAAAAGCCACCCTCGGGGCAAGGAAGAGGAGGGGCAGCCACACGCTTGGTGCCCCTTCCTCCTCCTGAGGTTGCCCTCGGAGCCGCTGGCCCTCCACATGGCCGGCCCACTGAAGGCAACCTCCCACTGCAGCGTCCGGACACGCTGCGGTGGAAAAGTCAGCGAAAGTGCACCGCAAGCTTTTGCGGCGCACTTTCACTGACTTGTGAAAGGAGCGCTATTTTAGTGCTCCTTTCAGGGACGGAGATGGTGCACCACAGGATCGAGGCGTGGGGATGCCTCGGTCCCGCGGCGCACCTTCCCAGGGCAGCCCCGTGCCGCCAGTCTGCTTCCCCCCATAGACTCCAGTATGCAGCTTATTTCATAATAAAACATTTTGTATTACACCACTAAAACACTCCTTGTTGCTTTTATTTGAATATTATTACAGTCAGCCGCCTGTAATCATAGATTCTTTATCCATGGATCAGCCATCCACCATTTGAAAATATTTTTAAAAATAATAAATTTCAAAAAGCAAACCTTTTATATGCCATTTTATATATAAGAGATACCAGTTTACTATGCCCTTCAGCATCCACAGATTTTGGTATTCACAGGAGGTCTTGGGACCAAGGCCCAGTTTATACCAAGGGCCTGCTGAATATTTATTTTACACAAATGATTTGATAATTCATGGTGTTGGTATGTAATGCTGTCATTTACTTGTAGATGAATTGGGTAAGGGGGGAAGGCAAGAAGTCTTATTATTATAGTAATTATACTAATGATGAATATGTCAATCAGGGTGGGCAATATGAAGTGTACCAGCAAATTTGGCCCGACCAAGTCACACCCTGAAAACTAGGCAGCAAATTGTTAAAAGCCATTAAAGCAAGCAGAAAATTTCCTTCTTTATGTGGTCTGTGTGCATTTGTGTGTGTGTATGTTGCCACAATATTTCAGTGGCAATTTCCATAGAAACAAGCATTTCTTTTAATGGCATTCTTCACTTTTGTCATCATGTTTAGCAGCGGGATTAGTTTCCAGCTTTTGGGATAGCAGTGGGGAGACTCCTGCAGCAGGTCCAGCAAAGGTGAAACTGATCCCCACAACTGCCAGCATTGCTCACTATAGTTTATTCTAAATGTGGAAGGCAGCTTGAAAGATAGAAGTAAAAGTATGTATGTACGCAGAGGTATCACTGCTTGCATATCTGCCTGTCAAGGAATGATATATAAAGAAGCAAATCTGTACTGATGTTTTGAATTATTATTTTCTCCATTCAAAACAATAGACTTGACTATCTTTGTGTTTTTTACATTCACTGAGAAAGACAGGAGATTCAGTAACTTCCAGTTCCTACTTATATGCAAGCAGTGATTTGAAAAGTAATAAGCATTGGGAATTGCAGGGCAGAGAGCATAATAAGTTCATTTGCATGCACATTCCATTTCCCAGGTGCTTATTTGCAAATGGCCACTACTTACTAGAGAACTCAAAACAAGCCACAGCTGATCTGTAATTCTTCACAGACTATCCAGAAAGCTACTTATCCTTCAGCAGACATATAAGCCAGGGATCTGCATGCACATGCTGGAAATCTAATGGACTAATTGTGTGACTCTTGTTTTTGTGAATGACCCCCAAGAGAAGTGCCATCGATTTTCCATTAATTTATAAGTAGTACCAACCAAGCATATCTCATTTAATAGAAGATGTGACCTTAATGAAGTAGCACAGATTTTGACAGTACTCAAAGGAGCAGGAGACTTTCTTAGAAATTATATTAGTTTTACTGATATGGTACAGTGAGTCTATACTGAGTTAAAGACTGACCTAGGCAAGAGCCAAGTAGCTGCCCTGAGAAGTTTACAGTCACAGGATGAGAGGATGAATTATGGTAGTTGCTACAAGTTAAGAATTCATGGAGGAGACTGGATCTGAGAAAGTGAGTTTTGAATAAAGGTGTTCAAAGAGGTCATTGCATGGGTCCTGTAAATACATTTAGAGATACATTGAAGGAGCAGGATGAGATGATAGGGTGGAGGTCTTTAGTAGAGAAGGGGAGCACATGTTGGTAGAGGTTAAGATGTAGGGATTCATTGTCCTTCCTGAAGTCAGCAGGTGTGGGATGCTACCTCTGCTGTTGTCCACCTAATTTTGGGGGTGATGACAAGTCATTCTCTATAAAACAAATCTGGTTCAATATGCATGCCTTATTTTACAGCTGAAATCATACTTCCAGGAATTTTCTAAAAGAGGCTTCATTTCTGAAAATGATATACTCACAACCTATGCACCCCGCTTCAAAGAGATATAAGGGTCCATTCGTTTTTTTGTCACTGCTGCAATGACAATATCAGTAGGGTTCAGACAGACAATACAGCTCATGTGCTAAGCCAGTGTGGTGTAGTGGTCTGAGTGTTGCACTACAACTCTGAAGACCAGGGTTCAAATCCCTGCTCAGTCATGGAAACCCACTGGGTGACTTTGGGGAAATCACACACCTTCAGACCTCCTCTGAACAAATCTTGCGATGAAAACCCTGTGATAGATTTGCCTTAGGATTGCCATAAATCAGAAATGACTTGGGCCACAGCCACAGTAGAAATAATCCAGGTTGAGAGACCACTTTAACTGCCATGGCTCAGTTCTATGGAATTATGGGAACTGTAGTTTTGTGAGACATTTAGCCTTCACTGTCAGAGAGTTCTGGTGCCACAATAAACCACGGTTTCCAGAATTCCATAGCATTGAGCCATGACAGTTAAAGTGGTCTCAACCTGGATTATTTCTGTAGTATGGGTTCAGCCTTAAAGGCACACACCATAAACAACAAGGCTTAAGTGTTCAAGCAACCCCCCTCCCATGCTCTTCCTTGTCCATGATCATCAGGTAACCGAGATGAGTTGGTAGGGTCAGTGCAGGATCTGAGGCTGCTGAATTGGGTGTGCCAAGGCAACATGCAGTCCATGGTTCCCAACAGAGGGAAACCACATAGAAAGACAAATGCTATTAGTTCAAACTGCAGAACATGAGCTGGTGTTTTTGATGAGCAAAATGCAGGCAGAGAACTGGGTAATCACAGTAATGTACAAGAAGCAATGATATGGCTTGATGGCTGATTGGTTGAGGGGAGCAAAATAAATCAAAGCATTGTGTCTGCTTGACAGGATCATATGTCATTGACATCAACAGTAGATATGGAAAATAGCTGAAGAATGAGTGAAAAGCAGAGAAACTCAGGCTTACACATACTCAGAAAAGAAATGGGAAAACCAAATAAAAATATTAAACTGTATTACCCTTCTGGGCTGCCACAATGAGATGGCACATGAAGGAAGTACTGGGGAATTCCAGTTTGACACCATGGCCATTGGCCTGTTGACTAAAGAACAAGTCAAGGTATGGTTCATCCAGCATGCTACTTAACATAGACATGAACTCAGTGTTGTGGGCTTATGCTAATGATGTCCAATACTGTTTCTACTGTTGTCTTAAATCCAGTAAAGTTGTTTCAGTTCTAAACTTGTTCTTCATATCAGTAACGAACTGAATGAGGGTGAATGTGTTGAAAATTTAGGGCCTTTGCAGACTGCCAGAAATAGTGCAATTGAGTCAACTTTAACTGCCCTGACTCAGTACTAGGGAATCATGGGAACTGTAGTTTATTGTGGCACCAGGGCTCTCTGACAGAGAAGGCTCAATGTCTCAGAAAAAAATACAATTCCCATGATTCCCTAGCACTGAGCCAGGGCAGTTAAATAATAATAATAATTTTTATTTCTATACCGCCCTATGGCGAACCAATCCGGGCGGTGAACAACAGTAAAATACATACAAGCTAAAACAATATAATTCCTTCTCCCCCCCTTAAAAAAATTATTAAATCAAGCTCGATTAAAACAATTACAATTAAAACACTCACAATTAAAATAGAATATAAAAATTATAAATACAAACCAACAACCCCTGCTAAAGGGAGTTATAGAATATTCATAAAAGGGAGGTCTCGAGGTCTCAAGGTCTTGAGACCGGGTAATTTAATCTGGAAAGGCCTGCTGGAAGAAATCCATCTTGACAGCCTTTTTAAAGCTGTATAGAGATGTTAGTTGATGGATCTCATCCAGCAGGCCGTTCCAGAGCCTGGGGGTGACAACAGAAAAGGCCCTCTGGG